ATCGACTTCCCTTTGCAACATCGGCCTTCAACGAACCAAGCAACCAATATGTCTCACATTAGAGATGTCGATAATAAATTTGACGATATGATACTTAGATCACCTGATGAAGGGACATAATGTTGGAGCATTTGATGGTCAAAAAGATATAATAATTTTTTTCTCTCTCAAAGCTTTCAGCAGATAACTAGGGATATCTTTGTCATTTGTGTTGATCTCGCATGGTCAGTGTCACTTCAGCTCAATCATGTCCTATTTGTTTCCTTATGATATCTTTTAGCTTACCTATAAATATAAAAACTCAAGTATCATGAAGGCAGGTTCATCACATTTACTTTTCTCTCTTTCTTATTTTTTTGTCGACCTAATTTTTACCGATTTGCACATTAAAGTGTAAATGTAAGAAATACTCCCTACCTTTACTTCTAACCGTTCTTCTCTTTTGCATTCACAAGAATACCTTTAAGTCAGAGCTCAACATCAACAAAAAAGTTTCTAGCTAGAAGACTAAATAAACTTAAACCCTTCAAAATTATGAAATTCACATTTTAAACTGTTGACATTCACATGTATTTACAAGTAAAATTAAAAAATTGATAAATATTTTATTTTTTAATTATTTTTTAACTTTTAATATTTATTAAAAAATATATATCATTTTAATAATCTTATTTATGAGATTTGAATATATATATATATATATATAGACACATAAGCACAAACATGAAAGACAGCACAGATTTAATATTGGATATTCAAATATACAAAAATAGGTATCGTGATATTGGGAAATACTACTCTTAGAATAAAACTTTGTAACGAATCAAATGTCACTTCAACCAATGAAATTATTGAGTCCATTAAAAATCTCTTCGCAATCAACGAAAAGATGAGCAATGAAATGCATTTGATGGCTGCGGAGAATCCTTGTCAAAGCTAAAATTACACGAGTTGAGAAAATTCTAAAACCGTACAAGTGGAAGCCCCCTTTGTGGACCTCAAGGCAACATATATGGGCCGGCTACGCTACCTTTGTTTTTATTTTATTTTTAAGTGTATAAATTTATATTTAAAAAACTAAAATGTATAATTTATATTTTAAAATTTTAAATAATATTAGTTTAATTTTAAGTTTAATAATATTAAATCAATTTATCTATATATTATCTAACTAATGTAATTTTATTAGATGCATATTATTTATTAAATAAAAATATTAAATACTTTTATAAAAAACTTTCATATGAAAATCATGTGACAAAAATGATTAATCGATTTTAAATAATTTGAACGATTCAAGTAAAAATATATAATATTTTAATTTATATTGAAAAAAAGATATTGATATTATGTGTGATAAATACATAATTTGATAATATTAATAATAAATATTATATATAGAAGTTGATACGATAAATAATGTTAGAATTTAGATATATATGATACATAATTTGAAAATTTATGATGTAAAATTATATATTATTTAAAAATTTAATATATAAATTATATATCAATTTATATATTTTTTAAAAATTGATAAAAAATGTAATTAACTTTTTGGGTTTTCGATCGACACCAAAGGATTCGTATATCACTGTCGCCATGCAAAGCTGAAAAACAGAAAAAGGCAATTCTCTGATATAACAGAAATGATAGCTTCCTCCTGTTGTTCTTTAACCATCGACTCATAAATAAAAAAAATGAGTGGTAATTATATCCTCGACGATTTTATTTCCAAATTCAAACGTAATGTTAAAGAGGCTTTGAATGGCTTTAGGGTAGCCGTCATGGCTAAAATACCGTCCCAAGTCCAATCCAAAAGGGTGCGAGTGCCACAGCCGTATGTAAATTTATGCAATCGAGTTCAACAATCTGGGTGATAAAACTAGACAACAGTCAACAGTATTAGCTTATATTAATTGGCAGTAGAAAGGATGGAATGGTAGCTGGCTTCCAAATTCCATCGTATGACTTGAAAATTGTAAAGAAGGCATATCTATTTGCTGATAGCTAAGTATTAAAAAAATGCCAGCTTTGCTATCTTCTGAAAATTTTCCACAATGTCTGCATCGAATAACAAAATAATGTTGTAGTGGTGCAATGCATGCATTATGCATCTGAATGGAACGAAGCCCACTAGCCACCTCGTTGTCCTCACCTTTCTCTTTCAGGAATTCTTAAAAGGTTCAAGACTTCAAAATGCTGTCAATTAACGGCAATAGATTGATGCCATGCTGACGGCTCGGCCGCATCCATGTCAGCTTGGTGAAACTTTTTATAATAATAAAATACTTCTACTTTCTTTTTTCTTTAATTGAGAACACCATTTTTAAAATTTATTAAAATATTATTTAAAATTTACTCTTATAAATAGTAAATTCTTAAATAATTCTTGAGTTATTAAATAATTGTAATATTATAATAAAAAATTTGTAATTAAAATACTTCGAATTCTATAAAAAAAAAATCTTAAACAACCACTAAAATATCTTAATATATTGATTTTATGCTTCGTATGCTGACTACTTTTTGTAATTTATACATTAAAATAATTTAGCTATACTTATTTGACCCACAGCTCAAATCAGAAGTAGTAGGTAGGAGGGCTACATTTCTAGGAGGTAGTTAAAAACAGATGACATCGTTAAATATGAAATTTGTAAAAAAAAAAAAAAAGAAATCTATACAAGCTGTTTTTTTGGTGGTAGTTAAATGTCCATTGAAAGTGCAAGTTGGTATAATAGTATCTAGATATAATAATCGTTTAAGATCATTGTTTCGACTAATTAACGAGTCCAACATGTAAAAGAAATTTAGGCATATTTGGTTTTTTGTTAAGTTAAAATAAGAGTTAATATTAAAAATGATCTTTAAATTATAGTAAAATATTTAATATAATATATAAATTTTAAAATTTTAAATGTATTATTTAAATTATAAATTTATTAATTAATTTAATATTTAAAAAATTATTTATTTGTCACTTATCATTATTTGAAATTAATAATGTTATAAGTGAATACTATATTAATTAAAATATTAAAAATAAACGGTATAACAATTATGATCATGGTAATCTTAAAATAATAATAAAAAATTATAAAAAGATGGTGAATAACAATATTCTTGTGATTTAATATAGTTATTTATTAGTAGACTATTGAATTCAAAGTTTTAAAAATTAAAATTTAATTTCTAACAATTTTAAATAAAAAATTGTATATTATAACATGCTTTTCTTAATAAACAATCTTTACCATCGAGGGGATCAAATTAAGTTAGTATGTAGTATATATATGATAAGAGATCTACTTATATTGATATAAGTATTACATATTTTTATTTTGGGATAAAATAATTAAAATTAAAATGTATTAATCTAATGATAAAAAAAGATATAACACTTATACTTATATAAATAGATTATATATATGTATATATATAGCTGTTTTCATGTATATGCCTAGTTGCATTCAATTTATTTGTAAATTATAAATCAATTAAAATGACAAAAGTTTGAATGAGATAATATAAAAATAACTTTAAAGGAAAAAGTATTTTGCATATTGTTTGTGAAATATTAGATTTTACAAATAATTTTAGAAAGTTGACAAGTGTTTACTGATATATATATATATATTTATGAAAATTAATTATTAAATATACACATATAATTGTTTAATCCTATTTTTAAAATTAAAAAAAAAAAGCTTCACCATCGAATATAAAAAATTCAACTGGATTAAAAAGTGGAAGCTTTGTTTGAATTCTCTCTCGGGCTGTTTTTTTCTGTCCAAATTTTGTTACGTGGACTTCAATTATAGGGAAACAATGCATGATTCGAACGTGTGAAGTAATTATGGATCGACGTGTCAGGTTGTTGTGATAGTAAAAAGACCAATAATTGGATTCTTTTTAATTCTTACTGCTGCGACCAGTAAATTTTGAGTTTAAAAATAATGACCATTTGAATTCGTTTTTTTAAAAAATTAGACATAAACATAAAAAAAAAAAAAGCGAGAAAAAAAGTATTAATTTTACTTAGGGTGAGATAAAATCATTACAAATAATCGGGGGGAAAGGCGTCGCCGCCGTGACTGCGAAATCCCGCGGGTGCAGATACATAAATTTGACCGGTCGGTACCACTTTCCACTTGAGGCCCAAATTGGCGACTTCCGTGCCGTCGACTGTTGAATTACGCCGCCGGTACCTCAGTCGTCAAGTACGACAGACATTACCTCACGCGCCACAATCTGCAGTGCACAAAAATTCACGCCCTCGAGTAAAAAAAACCTGTGTACTATAATTGCACCTGACACCTGGGTGGGATCCACTTGCAAAATCACCTGCAATGAAATTTTGCAGCCATTTTTTTTAATGAAAATTTTTATTTTTTCCGGCTTCAATAGTTAATTTATGCTCCACGAAATTGTAAAATGTCCACGTCGGTGAATTTCATTGTATCAAGTGAAAGAAATTTTTTTGATACTTAAACACAAGGAATAATGTTATGAATATTTATTAAATTATAATAAAATATTTAAATTTATAATTTTTTAATATAATATTTAAATTATAAATTTATTAATAATATATATTTAAAAATTATATATTTATCATTTATCAATATTTAAAATTAATCACATTAAAAATGATAACATATTAATTAATAAAATTAAAATTTTAATTTATTATATTAAAATTTTTATGTTTAAAAAATATTCCTAACATTACCCTAAATACGATAAAATTAAAAATGCTAGCTTGTAAATTTTTTTATGAACAAAATAAAAATGTGCCTAAAATTAAAAAAAGAAAGAAAGAATAAAACATTAATTAATAAAAAAATGTAGCATTGGTGTGATTGCATGGCCCTTTCAACAGGCGTGGAGATGACTCAGACAGCGATAGTTCTTTTACTACACTTTCATATTTCCTCTACCTTCGTCTCTCTCTCTCAATGACACACTTTTATAAACTCCCATCTATGGCCACTAATTTTCACTTCCTTCAATATCAGTGCTTTCTCTCTCTCTGCTCTGTTTCTTGCCTACTTTTTTTTTCTCTCTCCTACTCTGCAATTCTTGTTTTGATTCGGATTTTTTTTGCCTTTGTGATCTGTCCAAACCTTTCTATCCTTTTTCAAACAAAGCATTATTCCATTACGTCTGCTGCTCTTTTCATTTGTTTCTTTGTTTTCAACACCCCCATTTCCTTCCTTCTCATCTCCTTTCTTTTCTTTTTTTGCAACTTTCTCTCTAAACCTCTCTGATTTTTCGATCTCTGCAATGAAGGTCTGCTTCCTACTTGGGGATCTCTTTCTGTTTATGACTAAATTATGTGTTTTCCTTTATTGGGTTATGATTCTTTTTTTACTTTTAATTTGGTATCCTTTTTTTTTCTTTTTTGTTATTTTTTTGTGAGTTTTAAAGGGAATCCTAACGCTTTATTCTTGAATTCGATTGTGATTCTTGGTTTATACTGATTCCTAAGACTAAAAAAGATTTGCTTTGATGGACCATTAGAACCAAGGGTGTTTCTTTCTGTGAAAACTTCATTATTTTGATGACTTGTTTAGAAATCTATAGCTTTAAAGACAATCTTTTCAGCTCTAAAGTTTTTATATTTTGAGAATTTCCTGATAAGATGTCAATTCTGAATCAGGTTGCATTTGGGCTATAATTTTTTAATGAATTCCTAGCATCTTTGGTTCTGTCATCTTATTTCATGTTCCAATCTACGAAAAGGATCAAAACAAATGACTAATTTAATTTTTGTTCATGTTTAGATTGTAACTTAAATGATTTTTTCTCAATTATATCCTTATTTTTTTATTATCAGAAGCATAAATGATTCTGAAACAGATCTCTTGTATATTCTTTTTATTGCAGAAGCTTGTGTTGAAATTGGATTTGCATGATGAAAAAGCCAAGCAAAAGGCTTTAAAGACAGTCTCAACTCTTTCAGGTACATATCTCTTGCTTTCCTTCGTACCGTACAAACTGAAAAGCTTTAATTTAAGCAATTTTCTTTTTCTGTGATTTTGACATGTTACATTCATCTTTTTAAAGTATGTATCTTTGCAAGAATTCCTCTTGCAGTGAATGTTTTTCAACTTTTTACCCATTTCTAGAGGCTTTTCTTTAATTTTTCAAATTTGGGGGTGAGACTCTGCAACCTACCTAAAGAATTTTGGCATAAACCAAATTATGTGACTCTGCATAAGAAAATTTCCTATAAAAACAAAAGTTTTATTATAAAGTATTTACTTGATTGATGTCCAAATGCTTTTATATTGAACGCAGAAAGCGATGGGACTGCTTAATATATTTGTATGGTTTTGAACTTTGGCTTGGATTGTTTTGTTGTCTCTTGTTAAAATCTCTCTTCTGCCAATGACTTGTGCATCCTGATGACAACAATTTCCTTCCTGCAGACAGTGAATTTGTTTTTAACTTTGAGATTTGAATCTATATGAAAGCATATTAAAATAATTGAGTTTATGGACAAAACAATTTGTCATGTCATATTATTCTTCTTTTGAGCTGTCCTCGGAAAAGGAATGATTTTTCCTTTTGATTAACTTGTTTTTTGCTTTGTAAATTTGATAGGAATTGATTCCATTGCCATGGATATGAAGGCAAAGCAATTGACAGTGATTGGAACAGTTGATTCTATAAAGGTGGTGAGCAAATTACGCAAGTACTGGCCAACTGACATAGTATCAGTAGGGCCAGCTAAGGAGCCAGAGAAGAAGGAGGAGCCAAAGAAGGAAGAACCCAAGAAAGAGGAGGAACAAAAGAAAGAAGAGCCCAAGAAGGAAGAAGAGCAGAAGAAAGAAGAGCCTAAGAAGGAAGAGGAGCAGAAGAAAGAAGAACCCAAGAAAGAGGAAGAGAAGAAAGAAGAGGAGAAAAAGCCACAGCCACCGCCAGACCCTGTTTTGGAGCTTGTCAAGGCCTACAAAGCATACAATCCTCACATGACCACTTATTACTATGTTCAAAGCATAGAAGAGAATCCAAATGCTTGTGTTATTTGTTGATTAGGGTTTGGAAAAATGGTGAGGGAAACATAGCTTTCTCAAATTGTTGATGGATTTGGATGTCATCAATGAGAATAGGAGGTAAACCAAAGAAGAGAACTCCTTTGTATATAGATGGTGATGATGCCTCATTAATCCTGTTTTTTTCATGCATAAGTAATGTACTGTTTAGAGACTAGAGTGAATAAATGAAATTTTGGTATTTGTTTTGAACCCATCAACCATTGTCCATGAATGTATAAAATTTATACTAGTAACTAGTCTTATCATCTAACCACAGCCACCGACCCAACAAAAAGATAAAGCAAAATCAAAATTCGACCTTTGAATTTGAATCTCTTTGAATATTAATGCAATGCCTCCGTAAATCTATAATTAGACTTAATAAGAGGAGTCGACATCAATCTTTTAACTTATGTGTGTTTAACCACCTAATGAATCTATCATTTTAAGAAATTCTTAAGCTTAACTAAGGGTCCTTAAGAAAATAGATTATAATTTACTAATTAAAACAAGGTTCAAGAATTCGATTACATATGAAAAATGTTATAGCATTTCCATATGCCCATCCAAAAGATGATACTATTTTATTTTAAATTATCATAAGGTCTTAATTTTAATATTGAAAATAACTTTTAATATTTTTTCATCAATCTGATAAAATTCTTAAAAAATATTTTCTTACTTCAAGAATATTCAAGAATCCCAATTTTTTTTTCTTGAAGAAACTCCATCTTCGAAAAAATGTTTAATCATTTTTTTATTTTAGTGTTTTTTTATTATTGCTGTTGAAAATATATCTAATTCATCCACCATTTTGGCCAAAATCATAAATATGTTTTTACTTAAAATTTTTTTAGATAATCAACCATTTGTGATTACTAAAAATTTTATTTTCGAAATTTATTTTTATTTTTATATTATTTTATTTCTAAATTTTTTACCATTTTGGTCTATTTAGAAAAAAACTTTTGTTAATTTCTTAATATTTAGAAAGAAAAAATATGACAATTATTTTTTATGACGTTTCATTAAAATTTTTTCACCATTTTGGATAAATTTAAAGAAATTTCTCACTTAAAAATTTCTTAAGAAATTTACCATTTGAAATTTCTAAAATTCTCATAATTGTATAATTATCAAATATTTTCAACCAAAATTTTTTTTATTTGAAAAATATACAATTACTTTTATTGAAATTTCATTTAAATTATTCCATCATTTGATACAAATTTAGAAAAATTTCTCATCTAAAAATTTCTTAAAAAATTTACCATTTGAAATTTCTAAGAATCTTATCATTAGGTAATTAGTATTTAATTCCAAAATTAAAAAATTTTTATTTTTAAATAAATATTAATTATTATTATTCTTGAAACTTTCTATAAATTATTCTACCATTTGGGACAAATTTTAAAAAAATTATCAACTAGAGATTTTATAAAAATTTATCATTTGAAATTTTTAAATATTTTATTATTGCATAATTATTATTTATTCTAAAAAATATATTTTATTTTATATATTTTATATATTTTTTAAATTTCATCATGCAAAAATACTTTAAAAATAAATAAAATAACTAACTAAATAAATAAATAAATAACAAGTACCAAATAGAATCGGCTCGGCTTCAGCGGTTACAACGTATCTCGACTTCAGGCACAGAAGACAGCTCCAGAGATGCGACTCAATGACTCGGCTCAACTTTAAGTTTTAGCTACTAGAAGCAAGTCACTGGTTAAGGTGCTATGGGTCGAATTACCCAAATAGAAACGCGCAGATTTTGAAGCTATTTAACCTCTCAAATGACATCGTTTTAATGGGGTATAAATAGGCCAAAGCTTTATTTTTCCTCAAATTTCCTCTTATTTTCTCTCTTTTCTCTCATTCTCTTTCTAAAAACTTATGAATGCTGGTTGAATTTTTATTGGATTATGAAAAATCTCATCGAAATCTGAGTTGAGTCATCGAACATTAGTCAGAAGTTCATCAGTTTTTAAAAAATTGATGTCGAAAATTGAAAAATTCATAGGAAACTAGAAATCTCGTTAGAAAGTCACCAGAATCTTTAAAGATCATTGAAAATTTTAATTGAAAATTGAAATTTTTCTAGAAAATTTTCAAAAAAAATCTTATTTTTACCCTAAAAAACCTCTAAAAATTTCATACTTTCTGACTTCCTTTGAGTGCTTTTTTTCTCTGATCTATCTTTTTTTTTTTTTTTACTTTTTTATGTGAACCTTTGCTGCTTGGTATTGTTCTATATTTATAAGGTTCTAATCAAGAGAACCCTATATCAAACAGAGTTACAATTTCCTTTTAATTCTTCCTTCAACATTTAAGTTCAACCCAAACTTTTCAATCCAAACAAATAATTTCACACGAACTCAACCACTTTTTTTTTTTTATTTTCATTAACCAAACAATTAAAATCCCAAGTAGATTGGTGTGTCTATAGCTGCCCCTATTTGCGCATTTTCTATGAAATAAAAATTATGCAAAAATGTAAACAACTTAATAAAAAATTAACTCGATACATTTTTTTCCTTTTTTTTCTTTTCTTAAGCATACTTATACTGCTTGAATAACATAAAAACTTTTCTAAATAAAGGCTCCACAACTTTTAAGAAATAAATAAAGCTTTTTTGAGCAGAGACTCAATGACTTTTAAAAAGTAAATAAAACTCTTTTAAACAGAAGCTCAATAATTTTAAAAAATAAATAGTCTTTTTAAATAAAAGCTCAATGACTTTAAAAAAGTAAATAGGGTTCCTCTAAACAAAGGCTCAATGACTTTTAAAAAGTAAATAAAGCTTCTCTAAACAGAGGCTCATGACTTTTGAAAAGTAAATAAGGCTCATCTAAACAGAGGCTCACAACTTTTGCAAAATAAATAAAGCTTCTCGACAATTATGTCTAAAGCTCTTATAAATCATCAGAAAAAATCATAAGAGATTATGCTTAGAGGTTTTACAAATCATTTCTAAAATAGAAGAATGCTCCTTTAAACAAAAGCTTCACAACTTTTATAATTGTTTTTCTTGTAACATCCATTTTTAAGGATCAGATTCTTACTTTAGAGGTCTTTTTTTTTTTCAAATGAGAATTTAAAATTTTTTCATTGAAAAGTTTTTATATTTATCTTCTCCATGTAAGATCTTGAAATATCTCTGCTTCCTAAATTCATGCACTAGACATTCTTAAATGCAATGCATGGTATGCACTAAACATTTAAAAATGCAATGATGTTATGCCAATGTCAAGTTTTCCTCCAAAAGTTTGAAATCTCTTCTTATGAAAATTCTCAATCTTTCATCAAATTCAAAACTTTGTAAATAATGTCATGATAATAATGTAAATGCAATAACTTAGATTCTTACAATAATAAAGATGTCATATTTTAAATCATGATTCCAATATTTACTACATGATAAGTGATAGCTAAACCAAATTACATACATGTATTGTTCAAACTACAATGCAAATGTAATATATGTAATGTAGATGTCACTAACATTAATGTCATGAAATTTTAATTAATTGTAGTAATATGGTTCTTAAGACTCCACCATCTCTCATTTTTTTTTTTAGCTGCTCAGCCTTAACCATTTCAAAATAAATTCTATCCACTAATCCATATTATTTTCATCGTTTAATCACCACTCAAAAGTTATGTCAACCAATCCATTTCGTCACACCATGTGTCCTTTTAAATCATCTTTTCTAGTTTTTGTCATTTTTTTATTTCTTTTTTTTGCCTCTATCATGTTGGATTTCTTTTCAAAAGAATGCAAGAATCTTTTATAAACATTATCATTCATTCATTATCATTTCAGTTCTTGACAAATACAATGCAATCATATATTTTTTCGATTTATTCTTAGGATACAAAAATATAAGGTGAATTGGTAAAAAGATAATCAATACAAGAATGAATCTGCTACAAAAATAAAAGGGCAAAAAAACAAATTCAAAGCATGTCGTTGGGGATGGTAATGAATGGTACCACATATATAAACAATGAATACTCAAACAATTCGTAACATTAATTCAGAATTCTTTTTTAAAAACTTATTCCGTTGATTTTTGAAATTATTTTAAACTCATTGAACTTTGCCTCAGCTTTAAGGGATTTTTAGATGTCTTTGATCTTTCATATATTAGAACTATCTATTTAACTTTCAACTCAAAGGTTTTTCTACCCAAATTATTTTTTTAGGTTTTTAATTTGAGTCTCTCTTTTCTCTACTTTTATATTTTATATTTTTTCATTTTTTTCATTTTCATTATTTTATTTTTATTATTTTTATTTTTTTCATTTATTATTGATATCTTTTACACATCAGTCTCTAAAACAACATAACATGATTTCATTATTCCATCACAAGCATGCCTTAGCCCAATATATGATCATCCAATTCAAGCATTCACATTTGATCAAAATAGACTTTTGAAGGTTGTAATGTAGGCTATAGTGAAGGATCATGAAAGAAATAAATAAAATAGGCTCAAAATATATGTTTAAAGGATTCAAAATCAAATGATCATTTCTCATCATCGATGCAACTTGGCATTTTGTTCCATTCTACATTGTTTCACTATTTTTTCATTCATCTTATTCCTCACAAAAAGATTCTCATTATTTTACCCTAATTCATTTGTGGCATTCATTTTTTTTTATCTTTTTTTTTTTTTATGTAAAGAGGTTATTCTTTTTTTTTTTTGACTTTATATTTTTTGGACCTTTTACGATTTTTTACCTTTTTTTTTTCAAGTATGTTCTTCTCAAAATTTATCCCCTAGTATAGAAGATGATCTTTAGTTGGGATTCTTTAGAAAAAAATCCTATTAGGCTCAAAAGGGTTAGTAATAGATGGTTTTACGAATGGTAAAAGAAAGATGATAATTTTTTATCTCAAATGTGAATGCTTTCTTTAAAAATCATTTATTTAAAAATAAACTCATTGATCTTTATAAAGGACTACATATTTTTAAAACATATTTATTTTATATCTGCTAGCAGCTTGCTTCTTTTACTCAAATAGTTTTTATAGATTGAATGAATTTTTAAAATTAAATCTCAAAATTATTGTTATGATTGTCTAAACATTTATCATTCGAAATTTGAGAATGGGAATAAAAAGATATAACAAAGCATGGAATAATGGTTTGGATGAAAAAGTAAATGTAATGAAATGC